TATATACCCCATTATAATATAGTAGCTTCCATGTTCTTTTCCATTCTCCTTGTATAACTCTATATACTCCAATATAACCTCAATACAATCCCGAGCGGCCTCGCACTCTTTGAGAAGCAGTTTCTTTGACGATTGTATTGGGGTTATATCGGGGTTATATAAAGTTATACAAGGAGAATGCTACTATTTAGGATTTAGGGTTTAGGGGAGTATACTTGCCTTGAGGTCATACAAGGAAGTCATGTAAGGCACAGTTTCAGAATCCAAGCCACAAACGCAAACCCGAAACCTTAAGCCGTTCACCCTTCACTCTTCAATTGAAACCCTAAACCTTGAACCGCGAAGCCTACACCCTAAACACCCTAAACCCCGAACCATACATGTCCCTATAGGCCCACTTCGCCAGGTGCCAAATTTGCCGCTGCCAGCGCGGCGGCGCTCACGTTGCCAAGGCATAAGCTTATTTTGCAGATTCCCTAAATGAGGGGACCCCAATTCAGACCCCAATATACTATACTCCTTATTCTGGGGACCCGAAACCCAAATTTGGGAAACCCCATTTGGATCAGAGGGTTTGGAGCTCTGACAGCTTCCGGTTTTAGGGTTGAGGGTTTAAGGGGTCCCCGTCTGACATCCCCAAGTACCACAGTCCTTCCTTCTAGACACTCCAGAAGTGGGATGCGCAGTTTAGGGTTAGGGTGTGGGTTAAGGGCTTAGGGGATTCAGAGTTTGGGGTCTAGGCTTTTGGGGTGGAGGGGTTAGGGTTCAACGGTAGTTGGGTTGGTTGGAGCTATGTGGGGATCACGTAGCTTACCGGTTCCTAGTAGGGAACAAAGGAATATGATTCCTTTATTCCCTGCTAGGAACCAGTAAGGTAGTGTTTATATTTTGAGGCCCCGGTCTTTTCATATAGGCTTTGTCAGACACCCTATACCTTAAACGGGCTTCAACATTAAACACTACACTCACGGGTTCTGAGCAGGGAATATATGTAGGGGATGTGGGAGGTTATAAAGGGATTATATTCCCTTGTTCCCCGCTGACGATCAGTAAGTATAAGTACCTCGGGTCTCCAATGACATCGATGCAGGGGCCGTAAAACTGGGAGCTTCGTCTTGGATTCAATACATGGATGGCATTTGGGGATGGGAAACGGCCTTGTGGGGAAATGGCAGGGATGCTGAAAGAAGCCTCATTAGTCACTATACTATATAACCCATTATAGTAGTTTCCATTTTCTTTTCCATTATCCCTATATAACCCCAATATGTATGCTTAGATGTAGCTATCTTGTAAGTATTTAGGTTGCCACCTCAAGTCCTCACAACGAAAGCTCCGTTGAATATTGAGAGATATGGAAGAAGTATGCTTCTGATAAAAAATCTTAGGTTGGTGGGTGACTGGTCCTGCACACGATCGTTGGGGGCAGGTGTGAACCTTAAATCCTCCACCCTAAACCCTGTCCGTCTCAGGCCCATCCAGCCCAGCTCCAGATGGGTTTAGGGCTGACATTTTTCAATATTTCCAAAAAAGACCTTGCACTTTCGTTAACCAAAGCTTCACAAGTATCACGCCCTGCCGGTACGTCCAAAGGCTTGGTCTTCAACCCTAACGTCATCCTGAAGTAGTCAGAACCAAAAAATCTGCTACTCATGAGATGTTATATTTCCTCCATTTCCAGAAGTCTGTGTAGATGCGAAGACCTTCAATTCCGAAGCCCTAAACCCAAAACCCTACGCCCTTACTTTTCCTAAGCACTGACATTTTCAACCCTTGGCTGTTGATACATGAAGGCTTGATCTCACAGTCCCTGAGGTTTGGGAATTACCGTGAGGTGGTGCAACACTCCTACCACCAAGGCATTTTTTGAGTATAATATTGGTATGTTATGATGTATTATGGTATATTATGGGGATACTATTGGTATTTTCAGGTGTGAGGTTTTAGTGTAGGGTTTCGGGTTTGAGGTGTATGGCTTAGGTAATCCGTGATCGCAGCCAGACCTCACACTGTAGTTTCTCCTTGTGATCCCTGTAGAGTCTGCAGCAAGGACCCCACAATCTCCACATGCCCGGTTTAGGGTTCAGGGCATGCCACTACATTCCACCAAGCCCTCCCCCTCGCCCGCATTTCGAGCAACTCCGGCATACATCCAAATGGTTTCTCCTCAAGGCTTGGGGTTCCAATCTATTCCCAGAACAGTGCTGCTCAGGAACTGACACATAATTGGGGCTGTCCAGCCCGTTTGGCCCCCAACCCCCCAACTCTGAGAAACCTCCAAATCTCAAATGGAAAGCCCAGAGCTCTGTCAACGTCGCAGGACGCCCGGCTGGAACTCGATTCATGGTCAGAATTACGTACTTGGAGGTTCATGGGGACTTAGGAAGTAGGTTAAGAATTAGGAAAACTAGGGTTACTATGTGGGTGATGGGGGTTATCAACCCACTCACTAAGTCCCCCTGACCCTCCAAGTAAACAAGTTCCGGGATTCCGACTATGCAGGGTTTGAACTCTAGGGATGGGGAGCTAAACCTCAATACTCTATAGTCACCCTTAAGTAGATAGAATATGGGGTGTATGGTGATCTTTTTATAAAAGTGGCATTTCCATATTCTAGTAGTACCCATGTAATGTGCGACCTATATGATATATTCTCCTTTGTAGTACCAATTTTTCCTGCAAGGCCTTGGACCATTTTGGAGGGCCCCAACCGAATTCATCTCAAGTGGGATTCTCAAAGCCGACCTTCTAAGGATTTAGGGTTTAGGGATTCCCTCTGCATTCCCTATGCATAGGGGCCTGCTCATTTTGAGAAACTCCCAGGTGGTGTCTTGTTTGGAAAAGGGTCCCTGGATGGCCGGCCCGTAGGTTTCTTGTTGCGCCGCAGACATGGCAAAACGTGCTGGAAGAGCATGCTAAGAAGAGGTGGTTATAGCTCTCGAGGAGCTCCTCTGTATACAGAGACGAATGCTGAGACAAAGCGTGGACGCACCATATCCTGAGTGTGGGCATCCCGTGCCAGCACACGGCGCTGACTACCGCATGCTTGTTGCCCCTCCAAAAGTGGCGAAGGACATAGTCGAGCACCATTTCCAGAGAAATGATAGAAATCATCAGCAAGATGAGCAGCGGTGAGGACATTGGAAGAGCATGCCATGTTTTACCCGGCTAGAAACACGTGCAGGGAAGGCTTGTATGCTTAAGTCTACCACTCCCCATCAATTTCACTCGAAAACCCTACACCGTCTCAAATCTAGCCAGCAGCAAAAAAGCATGAGCATCGCATCGGCTCCACCATGTGCTTCGTCAACCACAGGACACCCTGTGAGCCTCACGGCCTTAATGCTAGAGATCCAGCAGGCCGCGCAAGAATTCGGTTTGCGTGTATAGAAGTATTCTGGGTTCAGGCCCAACGTTATCGGCAAGCCCATATGAACTGTAGTCTAAACTATTTAATGAGGGTTACATAGGAGATTACAGTATATAGGGCTTATTCAGGGGGATACTAGGAGTTTAGACTAACAGCTCATACTGAGGATTCTTGTGAACTCCTGGACAATGGACGTGGCGTGGTCATGGCGGGTGGGAGCCATGGCTGCACGTGGGCAATCCAGGGGTTTATGATTTAATCGATTGATAGGGGTATGTAAGAACTATGCAGGGACTATATGGTACTTTCCCAAAACAAGCGGACCCCAATATAGACCCCAAAATATTATAGTCCTTATTATGGGGACCCCCAAAAATGGTACCCCTAATTTTGGGAAACCCCTATATAGGGAGACATGTGGCTCAGGGTTCAGGTTTTAGGGGTTTGGGTTTAGGGTTCATTGGTTAGCATTAAGGCAGAGTTGAAAGGTAAGGATGTTCGGCATCTTAGAGAGGGCCGGATAGCACTTAGCATCCCCTACACCCTAAACCCAAAACGTTTAGGGTTTAGGGTTTAGGGTTTCCCTAAACCCGAAACCCCACCTACCTATTCCTATATGGGTCTTTTCATTACTGGGGGGTCAGGAATTCATCATGAAAAGGAGCATGTTTGATGCCTCCGATACATACCCTGATACATGCCTCGATACATACTCCGATACATAAAAAAGGAAAAGTCCTTCTCAACAAGAGCCTGTACTACGAAAAGTACCCCAAAACATACCTCAAAACATACGCCGAAACATACCCCAGCAACACACCCGCGAAACATACCCCAATCCCGGTTCAGCCCGAAATACCCATATAGTCCGTATAAGGTCCCTATATAGCCCTTCTATACCCCTATATATCTAGGGTTTGGGTATGGGGT